CACTGGCTGACGACAACCACCGTTACACAACAGACTGAAGTCCCTCAGGGCGCGGAGTCTAAGTCCCAGGCTGCCCTTCACCAGGGCCCCTGATGGTGGGGATGGACTTGACGCAACCAGGGACCAGGTCGCGGCCCCCGAGACACCCCAGCTGCGGTAATGGCCGCCGCCAATGGCGTGTAGCTGGTGAGAATGACAATAGCGTAGTCAGACAAGCCGGGTCAATAACAACGGGACAAAACAGTACAGAACAGTAGACAGAGAATCACAGGTCACGGGCCGGGTCAGCAACGGAAGGTCAGATCAAAGGGAAACACAGAGAATGGTCTTAGTCACAAGCCGAGTCAGAATACCAGAAGAGTCACGAGCGTATACACAGAGCTGTAGCAAGACAAAGACACAAGACACAAGTGCAAAGAGCATGTGCAGATCCCAGGCTTATATGTACTCAGCCACACCCCCTCTGGGGGATGGACCTCAGAGACCTGAAGGCATAAAAGATTCCCATCATGCTCAGCAGAAATCCAAGATGGATGCTAGCACATGGAGTAACATAACCTCTGGGAAAAGGTAGGACCTTGACAGTTTAACTCAGGGACACAGAATTGTTACTCAGGGACACAGAATTGTTACTGAGGGACACAGAATTGTTACTCAGGGACACAGAATTGTTACTCAGGGACAGACACACAGAATTGTTACTCAGGGACACAGAATTGTTACTCAGGGACACAGAATCATTACTGAGGGACACAGAATCGTTACTCAGGGACACAGAATTGTTACTCAGGGACACATAATCGTTACTCAGGGACACAGAATCGTTACTGAGGGACACAGAATCGTTACTCAGGGACACAGAATCGTTACTCAGGGACACAGAATTGTTACTCAGGGACACAGAAATCGTTACTGAGGGACACAGAATTGTTACTCAGGGACACAGAAATTCGTTACTCAGGGACACAGAATTGTTACTCAGGGGGACACAGAATTGTTACTCAGGGACACAGAATTGTTACTCAGGGACACAGAATTGTTGTTACTGAGGGACACAGAATCGTTACTGAGGACACAGAATCGTTACTCAGGGACACAGAATTGTTACTCAGGGACACAGAATCGTTACTCAGGGACACAGAATTGTTACTCAGGGACACAGAATTGTTACTCAGGGACACAGAATTGTTACAGGACACAAATCGACTCAGGAGACACAGAATTGTTACAGGGACACAGAATCGTTGAATTAAAAAGAGTATGTCAGACACAACACGCAGAGGAGTGGCAGAGGAGGCAATGTTTCAGGAGCGAGCAGACGTGGCAGCAGAGGAAGGGGTCGAGGCAGCACTAGTCGCAGCCAGAGGCCAGTGCTCCCGGTGTCATCCAGCGGGATGGCTGCGTGTCTCCACCGACAACCCTGCCGTCATCGATTGGTTGGCTCGGTCGTCTTCCTCTTCCCAGGTCACCTCTGACACCTACAGCCAACGGTCGGTGGGTACCTCAGACACAACCGTTAGTTGGCATGGCCCCCGGAGCAAGCCCACTGAAATCACGTGTCCTCTACCTGCCCCTGTCCTTTGGTGTTCCCTCACCAAGCGAAGTATCGCATGCTGTGGGCTCAGCCCCACTGTACAGTGAGGAAGAGCTAACAGAGGGCGGTCAGAGGAACGGGGGGAGACATCCGCCTCTTCAGCAGCCAGGCGAAGAAGTACTGGCGAGGAGAGTGGCTCGGTAGCCGGTCTAGAGACAGGTCTGTCTCCTGACCCACACGCAGCCGAGGGGGCTAGTAGTGAGGCGAGACCCTAATTGATGATGATGAGGCTGATCGCACTTGGCAGCCTCGTCGTCATCAGGCTATTGCTTCTGCATCATCAGGAGAAGAGGGTGCCAGCTTGGCAGCGAGCAAAACAGTCGGTGGGTTGCCCAGGAGGCAGCAGGGTCGCAGCAGTGTCAGTGGAGGCAAACGGCCACGGAGTAGAGCACCAGCTCCACTGCAGCCTACCACCATGGCCAGTAGTGGTGCCGGTGTGCACGGAGGAAGTAGCAGTCAGCCAGTGAGGAGTAGCGGGGGCAAAGTTTTCCTACTCGGCGGACGTGTGCCAATTTTTTCGTCAAGCCGCCCGAGGAAGTAAAACGTAGCCATATGTCGACTATGTGGCCAGAAAGTCAAGCGTGGCCAGGGGGCCCATGTTGGGACTACAGCGTTGCGTCAGCATATGCAGCGTCGCCATTCGGTGGCCTGGGAAAAACCGTGATAAAGATACGGCGGTTCTTGCTGCCCCAGCCCCCGCTCCATCACCCGCTCCGTTACTTGCTCCGTCACCCGACGTTCAATCGCCTCTATCAGCCAGTCAAGGCTCCAACACCTCTGCTGAGGGGAGTTGTCGCTCGTTGGCATCTTCCGCTCGTTCAGATGCTCCTTCTCCTGCTGCTACTCCTCTTCACGGATTCCGTCAGCAGTTTTCTTGGAATCCGTTTCCAAGAGACAACAGTTTGCGAGCACACGCACCCGACGGTGCAGAAGCTGAACGTCCTCCTGTCCAAGTTGCTGGTGCTGCAGTCCCTCCCTTTCCAAGTGGTGGACTCAGCACCTTTCCGAGAAATGATGGCTTGTGCCGAGCCGCGGTGGAGAGAGTGCCAAGCCGGAATTTCTTCGCCAAAAAGGCAGTGCCCAGCCCTGCATTCACATGTAGAAGAGATGGTGGGCCAGTCTTTGAGCATGTCGGTCTCTGCCAAAGTGCACGGCAGCGCCAACGTGTGGAGCTGTAACTACGGTCAGGGACAGTACATGTCATTTACGGCCCACTGGGTGAAACGTGGTGCCGGCACAGCCGCACCAGCAACTTGGACAGGTCACGCCGCTTTTTGCCTCCACGTTTTGCACGTCCTTGGTCCAGCAAAGAGATGTCCGCCTCTACCACCTCTTCTTCCGCCGTGTCCTCAGCCGCCACCCCCCTTCGTGCCAAGTCCCATTACCCGACCCGGCATATCACATGTGCAGGGCGCAACGGTGTCACGCTGTGCTGCACCTGGTATGCCTTGGCGAACATAGTCACACAGGGGAGGAACTTCTGAGTGTAATGAACAGAGAAATCGACAGATGGCTGTCTCCGCGCAAACTGAAAATCGGAACCATGTTTGACCGACAACGGAAAGAACATGGTGTCTGCTCTGCGTCAAGGAAGGTTGTGCCATGCGCCATGCATGGCTCACGTGTTCAATCTGGTTGTCAAGCGGTTCCTAAAATCCACCATCCCACTGCAAGACATCCTTAAAATGTCACGTAAACTTTGCATGCATTTCAGCCATTCCTACACCGCAAAGCACACCCTCCTTGAGCTGCAGCGGCAGAACGGAATTCCACAGCATCGCCTGATCTGCGACGTTGCAACAAGGTGGAATTCAACCCTACATATGTTAGACCGCCTTTACGAACAGCGAAAGGCCATCACCGATTTCCTGATGTTACAAGCGGATAAAGGTACTCCCCTGTGTAACTTAGATGTCAGCCATTGGCAGCTCATGCGTGACACACCTGCCGCTTGCTCAGGCCCTTTGAGGAGGCCACGCTATTCGTGAGTCGGCAGGACTATGGGATGAACGACGTCATTCCTCTGTTGCACGTCCTGGAACAAATGCTGTTAACAATGGCTGGTCAGGGTGCGGTAGACGTGGCGCACAGATCTCAACGCCACATGACCCCTGTGGGGGCAGGACAGGAAGAAGAGGAGGAGGTAGAGGAGGACATTGGTGCTCAGGAATTATTGAGTGAAATGGGTGGTTTTTCCACTCAGCGGACAGGAGTGGGAGGAGCAGGAGCATCTGGTAGAGGAGGAGGAGGAGACAGAGGACCCAGACGCACCGTGGCAGTATGCTGTGGAGATGGAGGCAGGGAGTCCCTCGCATTCCTTGGCACAAATGGCCCATAGCATGCTCGGTTGCTTGCGTAGCGACAGCCGAATAATAACCATCAGACAGAGGGATGACTTTTGGCTGTCCACCTTGTTGGACCCTCGCTACCGTTCAAAAATGGTGGCCTTTTTCACACCTGCTGAGAGGGAGGCCAAAATAACGTACTATAAAAACCACCTATGTAGTCAGTTGGTCTCTGCCTTTTCTGCGCCAACGTCCATCCTCAGACACTGTGGGCCCTCTGCGCTCGCGTTCTGCTGCCATGGCAGCAGGGGAGGGGTGGGGTGGGTAGGAGCAGTGGCAGCTCCACCAACAGCGGCTGCCTCAGTCTGCAGTCGATGATGAGTAGCTTTCTTCACCAGCGCAGTGAGGAAACTACTAACCAGCCGCAGCAGCAGCAGCATCAGGTGGACCTGGAGCAGGACCTCAAACAACAGGCTTGGGCCTACTTGGACAGCACCCCTGCCAACCGAGGTAGACAATCCCCTTGACTACTGGGCAACGAAACTTGACCTTTGGCCCCAACTAGCTGAATTTGCCCTTGAAAGGCTGTCATGCCCGGCCAGTAGCGTGGCATCGGAGCGCGTGTTTAGTGCGGCAGGAGAGGTATTGTAACTCCGCGGAGGACACGACTGTCCACCCAAAGTGTGGAGAGACTCACGTTTGTGAAAATGAATCAGGCGTGGATTAGTCTGGATTTCAAACCACCAGTTCCTGACACAACTGACTAAATCCGCCATGAATCATGCCCCAAACATGTTATTATTTTTAACATAGGCCTCTGTATGGCCTTCAATTTAAGCTGCTTACGCTTCGCCACTCTGCCATGGGCCCCTGTACCGCCTCCTCTTGCTGCTGCCAGGTCCAGAGTGTGTCATGGGTCCCTGTACAGCCTCCCATTGCTGCTGTCTCCATCGCCACACTCTGCCATGTGCCACTTTCAGGTCTCCTCACACTGCTGGTGGGTTCCATTTTGTCATAGGGTGCTGGCAGATTGCGGGCCTCCCATTGCTGCTGCCAGGCCCGTAATCTGCCATGGGCCCCCGTACCGACTCCTCATGCTGCTGCCAGGCCCGTAATCTGTCATGGGCCCCTGTACCGCCTCCTCATGCTGCTGCCAGGTCCAGAGTGTGTCATGGGTCCCTGTACGGCCTCCCATTGCTGCTGTCTCCATCGCCACACTCTGCCATGTGCCATTTTCAGGTCTCCTCACACTGCTGGTGGGTTCCATTTTGTCATAGGGTGCTGGCAGATTACGGGCTTCCCATTGCTGCTGCCAGGCCCGTAATCTGCCATGGGCCCCCGTACCAACTCCTCATGCTGCTGCCAGGCCCGTAATCTGTCATGGGCCCCTGTACCCGCCTCCTCATGCTGCTGCCAGGTCCAGAGTGTGTCATGGGTCCCTGTACGGCCTCCCATTGCTGCTGCCAGGCCCGTAATCTGCCATGGGCCCCGTACCGACTCCTCATGCTGCTGCCAGGCCCGTAATCTGTCATGGGCCCCCTGTACCGCCCTCCTCATGCTGCTGCCAGGTCCAGAGTGTGTCATGGGTCCCTGTACGGCCTCCCATTGCTGCTGTCTCCATCGCCACACTCTGCCATGTGCCACTTTCAGGTCTCCTCACACTGCTGGTGGGTTCCATTTTGTCATAGGGTGCTGTATGGCCTCCCATTGCTGCTGCCAGGCCCGTAATCTGCCATGGGCCCCCGTACCGACTCCTCATGCTGCTGCTAGACCCGTAATCTGTCATGGGCCCCTGTACCGCCTCCTCATGCTGCTGCCAGGTCCAGAGTGTGTCATGGGTCCCTGTACGGCCTCCCATTGCTGCTGTCTCCATCGCCACACTCTGCCATGTGCCACTTTCAGGTCTCCTCACACTGCTGGTGGGTTCCATTTTTTCATAGGGTGCTGTATGGCCTCCCATTGCTGCTGCTGCCTCCACCGCCACACTGTGGCTCCACACTCTGGTTTTGGCCCCGTGACTGCCCAAATGAGTGAAGTGTGCGGTGATTCTAAGATCGACGGCACTCATCTGCATGTCATACTGACTGACAGTATTATTTCTCTTCCCCAGCAGACTCCAAGGGCATTTAAATTAAAGGTACAGTGTTCTGCACTAATATAAAGGCTCTCTGAAGCCTAGAAACACCCTTTTTATAAGTTAAATTCGCAGCGAATATATTCGACTCGAATCGAATTTATTCCGCGAATTCGCCGAATCGAATTTTTGAATAATTCGCTCATCTCTAATTGTGAACACAACTGTATATCTTGCTTGAGCAAAATCCACCAAAATGTTAGACAAGCAATAAATGACCATGCTAACTTACAATGAACAATACTTATGTTAAGTCTTGTGAGTGCTTCTGACCTGGATTTCTAATTTATATATAGATATAGGTTTACAGTTCTAAGTTTAATTATTTATGTTCTGCATGCAGTAAAAGAATGAATGGGAAGAACAATGTTTGATAATCCATACATTATAACTGGAAAGAAGCAAGGACAAATCCTGGGGGGAGGCAGAAGTCGATAACAGAGTGGGTAATGGTAGCTAAAAGTGAATCAGTGTGATGGACAGGACCTAATGGAGGAAGGCAAGAGGAATAAATAAGAGAAGAACTGGTGGTTGAACTCATTAAATATTTGTGACAAAGGTAGGGGAAAAGACTGAACTGCAGGTGGCCACAGTAGAGATTATAATGGAGGCAGGGCCGGTGCTAGACTATTTTGCACCCTAGGCAAGACCAGCTACTTGCTCCCCCCCCCCACTCTCCCCCCCCTAAAAAAACTTTAAAAACAGTAGAAAGTATTAAATCAATAAAACATGAAACTGCTAAATTTCCTTTAATTTGCAAAAATAAATTGCATAAGGTGCCACCAGCACCAGTATTAAAAACAAAATCACGTGTCATGGATGGACTGTATCTGTAGCTGGCCACCCCGGGTCACACTCACACAGACACGAGACATCAGAATCAGACATTACCTTCCTCCTAAGGCGCAGCTCCACCTCCGCTGATGAATGGGAAGAGAATAGCTGGAACTCCATAGTGATAAGCAGTCACCAACCAGCCTGCAGTAAGGGACTAAGTCTGAGAGCAACACTGGAAGGAGCGGCAGCCCAGTTGCTACACTGACCCAAGATACCCGGAATCTTCCTCTGTCCTTTCTTCCTCTCCCGTTGCCCCTCCCTTCAGCTGAAGGATTATTCATGATGTAGCAGCATCCCACACAGAGAGAGTGCCGGCCTGTGTTGCACCCAGGCGCACCTAGGTGGCAGTGTGCGCCCTAGGTGGCCACCTAGTTTGCCTAGTGGAAGCACCAGCCCTGAATGGAGGCTTATAATGGGGAGGGTGAAAGATGTGCTGTCTGGGCAGGGGCTGGAATATCAGAGTAGGGCAGTTGCCTTGTGTTATGGAGAGCAGACTAGAGATGCTTGGAAAATCAGAGAGACTAGTGACATATAAAAGATGAAGAGCAGAAAAGAGGGAGCTTTTATGATGCAGAACACATGACAAAGGCAGGCCATAGACAAAGGCAATTTCTGCAGGACATAAATGTGCTTGATTCTTCCATCAACACAATCAGTGTTGACAGGGGAACCCTTCCCACCAAGCTATTGTGTTCTCCCGGAGGGAGGGGGGGGCTGGGGCTATCAGTGGAAGCCAATAAGAAAACAGTGATTGATGTAGTATTGGAAGGGATTCGAATTTATACTAGGGCGCTGAGAGATTCTAACTTCAGCTTATTCAATTACACTTTGGTAATAAATCCTGGAAGGTGATTGGTTCCTATACAGAGCTGCACCAGATTTTGCATTCTTCACTTTTAGCAAATAACCCCCACAGTGTTACCACCTTTTCTGCAAAGTTTCTGTAGTATTGATTTCTCTATAGAAATCATCTTAAGCCCAGGTTCGACTTTGTGGATTACTTGGCTTGCTCACCGTTGCTGTCCCAGTAGGGAGGCAACACTACTAAAATATCTGCCTTATCTGGGTAATGCAAGGTTTGGCAAAAAGCAAAATGCTTCAAAACACATTTGCCTTTGATGATAATGTAACACCCTGCTAGCATTCAGAGTTCAGGATGTTAAGAGACTCAAGGTGGCAATGTCCTGCAACTTAGTGGCACACACTCTGGCGAAAAGCTTTGTGAATTTTGTAGGCTGAACTGCAGGACTTTGTTAGAAGGCACTGAATTAGGGGACTACATTTCCCAGAGCAGCTGGCATATAAAGGAAGGCATGAAGTGAGCTGGGAGAAGGTGTGAGTGAGGAAGGTGTGAGGAGAAGGCTGTACAGAACGCTTCAGGACCAGACCAGGCTGCACAGAGATGTGGTTCAAGAACCGCAGAGAAATGATTCAAGAAAGGTCTGAGGAACACAACAATGAGCTTGAGGTTCTGCAGATCTCAGTCCACCGAGCATCTGTGGGATGTGCTGGAAAAACAAGTCTGACCCATGAAGTCTCTACCTTGCAACTTACAGGACCTAAAGGATCTACTACTGATGGCTTTGAGCTAGATACCACAGCATACCTTTAAAGGTCTAGTTGATGTCTCAACTAGTCTGGGCTGTTCTGGGTGCAAAAGGAGGGCCTTTTCAATATTAAGTAGGTGGTTATAAAATTATGGCTGATCACTGTATGTGCTTTATAGAGTTCATATTTCCACAAAGTGACTTTCTGATTTCAGTTTTGTGACATCCAGAATTTAACGAGGCTTCACATATTGTCAATTTAATTTTTGTTACTTTGAGGTTACTCTGCAGCATTTATTTTGCTGTCTGAGCACTGGATTTCCATTGTAACTTTTTTTTTATAGTTTTGATATTAAGCTAATGTGTTTAAAAACTGAGTATTTCACTTGCTCAGGTAAACATTCTTAATGCATTTCTTTACTGGAAGTATGTTGCAAGCAGTGTAAAAAGTGGCACATTGCCATTTAGACTATAAAGACATATAGGGGTTTATTTACTAAAGCTGGAGAGTCCAAAATCAGACTCCCTTCTGCATAGAAACCAATCAGCTTCCAGGTTTCATTGCCAAAGCTTCATTGAACAAGCTGAGGTTAGAAGCTGATTGGTTTCTATGCAGAAGGGAGTCTGATTTTGGACTCTCCAGCTTTAGTAAATAAACCCCATACTGGCACAATGCCACAAAGTCTACCTGTGGTCAGGTGCATTGCTTTGGCCAACCATGGCTCTCACAATGCACTTTGAGAGCACAGTGCATTTTAGGGCACTCGATGCTCTTACCGTGTGTTCGGTGAACAAACGACTGGACGATATTCAAGTCGAACTTACATTCGACTTGAACATCAAGCCCATCCCTAGTCACAAGCTTTTTTAATCAAAAATCACATTTTACATGGAGTAGACCACTTTGGAATATATAAACATTAGTGTATCACTGAGAAGCTATTTATTCTATAAATAAATATTCCAACGTCATGTCAGCTATTATAATATAACATAATGGAAACGGCTGTAACCTACAGCAACCACTCAGCAAGCATCTGCTATACCCTGCTAAAAGAAAGAAATCTGGTTTGAAATGAACGTAGTTCTGATGATCTGCAATTGCTTTATTAAGGAAGACTGCAGGTATTTTCTGTAACAGACAGGGGTCTTGAAGTCTGGTTTTGCTGCCCAGACGTTGCAGCTGTGCAAGCCAAACCTCAGGAAGAAAGTTTGCAAATAAAGTGAAATTAAAACAAAGTCTGTGCAGGGAAAAGAAATCAATTTATCAGTGACCTGGTGTCACACAAAGAGACGCTTTAATGCAGAGCAGAGTGGGTGAGGAGCTGCTGCTGAGAAATGGCGAGCAAGCATCTGATGATATAAAAGGTGGTTCAGCGGGCACATGGATAAAACCAGCTTCTATTTACAGAACAGGAGGTCAGCTGAGAATCCTGCAATCTGCTAGATATTACTAACTGCTCTCCATTATCTTCTGCCTCTTATAGCTTCATCCCTGCTGTTTGTGGCTTCTTTCCTTAGCCATTATATTTTCCTTCCTTTATGTGAATGTCAGCTCCCCATAGCAGTGTCTTCTCACCCTCCGCAATGCTAGCGAAGAGTTGACAAACCTGACCCGAGGCAGGTAGTTCAGAGATGCATTGCCAGTGGGAGAAGGTTTAATAAACTATACATTCAATCAGACATACCAATTCCCTTGTCAAATCTTTCCACATAACAGTTCATAGTGCTTTTACAGTTACATAGTGGCAAAGCTAACCATTCTGCTGCCAAAGGCATCAGCTTAAATGGTGACCTTCTCATCCCTTTCATATCTATAGAGTTAGCTATGAGCAGTGCCCCAAAACCAACAATACATTGTCAGTGTCACTGTATACTCAGCGTACTGTGTCATATTTATAGAACTGGCTCCATCTGCAAAAAAAACTCATGACATTCATAATTTTTTCAGCACAAAGTATCCTAAAGGTTAGCTAATGACACTATAAAATTGTGGGACACTCATATATATGCTTAAATAATAAAAAAAATACTATTTCTCTTGGTGAACCTCTCACGCTTTATAAATGTGCACAGCTTCTTAACCACTCATTCATTTCCATCCTGGGAGGCCCTCCAGGAGACACCGAATGCCCCATCAGGGGAAACATTACCACTATCTCCAATTACGACATTGGATTGTGTCCTTCTGTCACATTTCCTTATTGCGAAATGTCCTTTGAACACACATGCCAACATTCTCCAGGGTCCTCTACTCTCATTTCTACTCTCTATGCCTCTCTTAACAATAGGACTTCCTTAACATCCCTACCTTATGTGACTCAATGGGAGCAAGATCTTGGTTCATCTATTGAGGTTGAGGACTAGAGCAAGGCCTGGAAGATGATAGCAAAATGTTCTTTCAATACAGCTACTCTTGAGGCTGCCTACAAAGTTCTCCTGCGGTGGTACTGGGTCCTGCCTCGGACTGCTCATATCTATCTAGGTGGTAGCGATAGGTGGTTTAGGAACTGTGGTCAGTGTGGGGACGCCCTGCATATTTTGTGGTCATGTCCACATTTGATAGGCTTCTGGTCTAGGGTTTTTGGCTTGCTGCAAACACTGTTTCATGTAACAGCCCACCAGGGTGCCAGTTTGGTCCAT